ATTAAATGCAGTGATGGTACCCTCATATTAATACTTTATTCCAGCACAACATATACTTTTATGCTTGATTTTCACTTTAGAAAAATGTATTTCATGTCCATATTCAATATTTACAGATACAGATTGTAATTTTAATAAGACATTTCATCATTTAATGAATTTATTGTTGCCATCTGGTTTCCGAAATGTTCTTAATCATGCAGTGGGTGGAATGTTTTTAAGTTTATTAGATGAAGTTGCTCTATCTGTTAAATGCTCAGACTTTTCAGCTTTTCAAAAACTAAATTTTTTATTAAATCATAACTGTGTATGGAGTACAATGTGCTGATTTATATACAGTTTTGCTAGCATTCTTCCTCCATGGCAGTATCTTAGAGAGTGTTGCTCCTTGTATCTGAGCATTACTGAATGGAATGTTGTATTTGCAAATAGTTTAAATAGGCTGTTCAATCTCACTAATACCACTCCAGCATTATCCCATTTGCTGTGTGCTTTTTTTCACTGTCCATCTTTAAAAAACGATACTCACATCCCTAAATTTTGTATGTTTGTAGAATTTATATGGTAGAGAAATAAATACTTTATTAGCTATATTGTGATCTATTCTATGTTTATACCACATCAGTGTTAAATTGAATATGAAGAAGGTACCTCTTGATTCTTTGCTAAACCAAAGCATGTTTAATTTGGATTTTCCCTTAGGGGTCATCAGAACATGATGAAACCAGTATGCCTACCGTGCACAACCTTGTTCCTATTATTAATGATCAGTCTCAATATATTCATCATTTAGAGGCAGAAGTTAAGTTCTGCAAGGTAAGTTTCTCATTAAGAATTTAAACTTGGGTGGCTCACATCTGTATTCTTAGCACTCTGGGGGGCCAAGGGGGGGAAATTGCCTGAGCTCAGGAGTTGGAGACCAGCCTAAGCTGGAGGAAGCCCTCATCTCTAAAAATAGCTGGGCATTGTGGTGGTTGCTATAGTCCCAGCTACTCGGGAGGTGGAGGCACAAGGATCTCTTGACCCCAAGAGTTTGAGGTTGCTGTGAGCTATCAGGCCATGGCACTCTACTAAGGGTAACAGAATGAGATTCTCTCTTAAAAAAAAAAAAAATTTTAAACCTAAATAAAAGCCTACTTTAATTATACTTTGAATAAAAATTTGCTGTTATTTGCCTTCAGGTTTGTAGTAGTGCATTGACAATTGGTACTGTCATATGATTGAGAGACTAATGTTCTACAGGAGCTTGTCAGATGATACTCTGGACTGTGCCATTTCTGACTGCTTGATTTTCCAATAGTCCATTGCTACAAAGTCAGACAAATAAGTATGTGAACTCATCCTAGAAAAAGTACTACATACCTCACTACTGAATATTACTATGGTCACCAGATGACCAAGGGGAGTACATTGAAGGTGATCATACTGATATTTAGCAATAAAGTGTTTAGCACTTTTTCTAGGATGAGTTGTGAACTTAGTTGTTAAACCATGTGTGTTTAGTAATTTTATAATATGCTCTCATATTTTAAAATTGTTCCTTCCTATCTCATTTACTTTAGCCCAGTGTATGGCAAATACTTTGGAATACAAATAGCAGTCATTCTCTTATACTTGTTAACCTATGGAGCTATGGTGAAATTATCAGGCATTGTAAACTATAAGACCAGATCTTCATTTTCAGTATTAAAGCTATGACCTTGACTTCCAATGATTAGAATGGTTCAAAGAATGGATCAAGAAACCAAATAGAGGCCTGGTGCCCATAGCACAGTAGTTATGGT